CTCATATGTGGGATCTAAGAGCAAGTCTGATGGATTAGTCAAACAATACAAGGCCAAACTTTTTGCCAAAGACTTCTCGCAAAAGTATGGCATGGATTATGAGGATATCTTCACTTGATTTTCAAAATAAAAATTATTCATAATCTGATAGCAATCTCATTTGTTTGCTAATGGAAGCTCTTCCAAATGGATGTCAAGAATGCATTCTTGAATGGTAATCTTCTTGAGGAGGTATAATACATGACCCCTTCCCCTAGGTATTGCTTATCAGTTGGGTATAGTTTTTTTTGCTTCAAAATTCTCTATATCGTCTCAAACAAGGCTTTCACGTTTGGTTTGAGAAATTCTCTACATTGATTACTAGTTTTGATTTTACTTCTAGTAATAATGATTTAACATTTTTTGTTAGATGCACTAGTATTAGTTAGTTTTTCTTATCTGTGTACGTGGATGACATGATTATTATTGGCGATAACGTTGATGGTATTGAGTCCTTGAAATGCCATCTAGCTCACCGATTTTCTATGAAATACTTTTTCTTGTTGTATTATTCTTGGGGATTGAGGTTGCTTAATCCAAAAATGGTATTAGATTATCTCATACGAAGTACCTTCTCTTTGAGCATGCACAACTCAATGATAATAGGATGGTTGATATGCCTCGTGAAACTAATGACCAATACTCTCCAAGTGATTATATTCTTTGTATCATTATCGAGGGTATATCGTAGCATTGTATCATACTCGTCCGAATATAGCCTATGCACTTAATGTGGTTAGCTAATTTTTCACTTTTCCTTCTAATTATCATGATCGTAAATGCACCACTACTTTATGTATCTTTCTTGGTGATTCCATGGTCTCATAAAAGAGTGAAACAAGATGTTGTTTCTCAATCTTCTACAAAAGCTGAATATCACGCCATGTTTGTGACCACTTTAAGAGATTGTTTGTTCATGTTGACTTCTTGTTGATATGAGTGTTAATATTTCCCAAATTACACATTTAACTATGACAACAAAAGTACAATACATATTGCAAAGAATTGTGTTTTTCACAAGTAGACGAAACATATTGAGATTAATTGTCATTTTATTTGTCATCATTTTTAGTTTGCAACCATTTCTCTACCACATGTTCAATGAACTTTGTAGATTTTTTGTATGTTGACGAAGGCTCTATATACTACTCGTTATCAGTTTTTTGATAAACTCTCAACATTTAATGATATTGCTACCGCATACTATGTTTGAAAGGAGGGGGTAGGGTTGGTGTTGTTGGTCTAGTTAGTTTATTGTGTTGTTTTAGTATTGAACATTTTTCTTTAGCCATTTAACTAGTTAACCAGAATATTCACTTGTTTGTATTATCATATCAACACAAAACAAACTATATATTATTCTTGTTAAAACTTGCTCATCTCTATATATATTAGAAGAGAAACCTGATGACATCACCTTCAACAATCAGGGTCATTCATTATGTTTCCTTAATTAATTTCAATCTTTAGATCATTTTGATGATGACATCCTAAAATAAAATAAAATAAAATAAATATTGAGTAAATTTGAAAGTCTGACTAACTTATTTAGTGTTGACGTCAATTATAAAAAGAATGTATTCAACTGATTTAAACCTCATCATAATTTTTTAAAGTAAATTTTGTTCCTTTCTAATTAAAATCATGTTCTTAACTGACACCTTTGACCTTTCGTATATTCTTTCAATTCACATTTGTTATATGAAACGTATCTACAAGACCACAGGATATAATCACTCAATTTCAAAGAATCAAAGAATTTGAAAATTGATGTCCTTTCCATAATCATTATTGAAAGTTATGTATAAATCATATGTTGTTTTACAAACATTGTGTTTTCTTCAAACCATTTGCAACATCACGTTCGAACAGCATCACCCTTTGCAGCATCATGTTCGTCATCCAGGTTCCTTCTTTAATATTATGTTCTTAAATTTTAATAGTTGTATTCGATTTTTTGATTCTCATTAGTGTTGTATTGGACTATGATCATTGAATGCATGAATAATCTTGACTATAAATGTTAGTATTAGTTTTTCAATCTTTTACTTTTGTCTTTTTAACTTTACATTTGATGTTGTACTCTACATGTTTGATAAAATGTCTATGAGAAAAGCACAATGACTTTTGATTAACTGTACGTATGTATGTATATCTTACGTAATTAAAATTTTCTGAGATTGTTTGAATTGCACAGTTGATTGGAAACTACCATTTACACTTCAGTGTTTTTAATTATCAATATTATATTGCCATTAATTTGATATATTTGCCCATAATTCTTGGTTTTTAACATATTTAGTTAATAGCAATGCACTTTGACTTTAACCTATAATGTTTTGAATTGCGATTTCTAAATTTCTTTTGAGTTGTTGTAACTGTGTTCAGTGGATACAAAGTGCATTGTAATTTCTATTTTGCTTTTAACATGTAGCTAATAACAATGTGCGTATGTGGTTTTTTTATTTAAAAAACTTAACTCTTATTTCAACATTTTTCCTTAATCTGTCTCTATCTTTAATAAGTCATATCTCGGTCATGGGAAACTCTCTTTGGTCGAAATCAGTGAACAATGTATCATAGTTAAGACAGTCAATCTTTAAAATAACATAGTTATGAAAAATTATAAAGTCAAATAAAAAATTTCTAAGATCTTAGGAGATTTGTAAAAAGTATAATTACATCAAATGATACGGTTATTAGAAAAAATAAGACCATTAACATTAGTAAAAATGCAATATATAAACTAAATTATCACAATAGTAATTAAATGTCATTATTTGATATTTCATATAATTGAAATATATATATACAAAATTACATTGATGATATGCAAAAATTATTTGAAGTTACGCCAAGTTTAATGCAAAGTTTTTGTGAACACAAAATAAATAAGAGCAAACATAAAACCTACCACTTATTTTCATAATTAATTTAAAATAAGCCAATCATGATTTAGAAAAGAATTTTCATTGATAATATACTAAAATCCATAAATTATACTATATAATTTTATTTGAATAAATGAAATAGTTATCGATATTTAATGCACTAAAAACCGGTCAATATATTTTTAAATTAAGTAACTTTATTATATAAAGAACGTTTAATCATAATCTTTATGCCTATACAACAATATAATTGACTAACATTTTCAAATAATTGAAAAAGATTGAATAATGACAAGTGGAAAATGGTTAATTCAAAAATACCAAAAATTAACATGTAACAAAATGAATGAGAAATTGATACGTGACAAAATAGTTCTTATTTATTATGATAAAAAAAATTTATGTTGTTGTATCTTATTAATTTTTATTTTTTTAGCCTTTTTATAAATTTATATGTATTTTTTTTATATGTTCCTCAGCGTTTAAAATTTATATTTTGACGACATACGTGTTTCCTTTATAAAATTCAAACTTTCCAAAATCGGATTTGGATCGTAACCTAACAATTTAATTATCATTAATTTCATCAATAATTTCACTCAACTTAAATTTGTATTTTCCTTATATAAAATGTTTTATGATCACGATTGTTTCTCTATAAAAATATTCAAACATTTATTTTTATACGTTCCTTTATCAAATTTAATTTGTATATCCCTTTTATGCATAAAAAGTTTTATTTTGATAACTTAAGAGTTTCCTATATCAAAAGTTAAACTTTTCAAAATCGGATTTAATCATAACCTACCAATTTAATCATCATTAATTTCATCTACAATTTCACCATATTTAAATTTTTATTTGCAATATATAAAATTTTTTAATGAACATGAGTTTTTCACTCCAACAAGTATTTCAAGAATTTATTTTTAGATATTGTTGTGCCATTATAATTATTATCTTTCTTATAAAAAAATTTATATATATATATATATATATATATATATATATATATATATATATATATATATATATATATACCGATTTTATAAGCAAATTTACACAAAAACAAAGTGATTATTATTATTATTATTATTATTTTGTATAACATACCAACCTATTTTGTTTTATCATTATATAGTAACAAAAAAATTAAAAATTTACACAACAAATATACATATTTTGAATTTTATCATAGTATTATCACATATAAATTATAATTCTCTTCAAAATAATATTTGTCACTAATTTCATCCTTAATTTCATCCGATCGAAATTTATATTTTTTTTAATGATCCCGATTTTTCCCTTCAAAAATATTTCAAACATTTATTTCTTAGATAATGACGTCCTATATTAATTATTGTTTTCCTCATAAAAATTATATATATATATATATATATATATATATATATATATATATATATATATATATATATATATATATATATATATATATATATATATATATATATAGTAATTGATTAAAATGACAATTCTTGTTTTTAAAGAAAAAAAACTAAAAGTCTTCTTCTAATTTTTACAAATCAAGTTATAGTAACGTAATTATCTATAATTTTGAAAGTACGTATATGTAACGAGTAATGTCGTTGAATTGATAAAACAAAAAAGTGTTATCTGCAAAGAGTTCTTTCAACGATTATAAATATTTATCAATTTGTAGGTATCTTCTACAAATTTCAATAATACCAATAACCAAATTTTTTTAATAATTATTATGCAATATTCGTAGACATTTGTATATTTTTTATACGTTTTCCCGCATTTAACGGGGATTATAATCTGATATATGATATGATTAATATTATAAGATTAAGAAAGAACACGTTTACTCACCTCATTTTATATTTATTATTTCCGTTATCTCTTCTTCACTAAGTGTAACCATTCGCTCTTCAAAAGTAAAATATAATTAGAATCATTCATTTTAAACTATTGTTGCTTTCATTTGTGCGAATTTATTGATCAGTGAAATAAAAAATAACCATAAATACTTTAGCAATAAGAAATAACACAATTGTACATTTGTATATAGAAAGAAAAGCATACCTATTTCATATAACAATGTAAATAAGGCAGATGCGCCCGGGCCACCCGGAATGTAAAATATTAATGGATCGGATTCTGCATTTCTTGTTGACTCAACAAAATAGTAAAACAGTTGTACGCCTTCCTTCTCTCCTACTCCAACATAACTTTCAAATAAAGAATATGAGTATTTAGAACATATCAATGAATGTTTGGGTACCAATATTTTTTATACGTGCTGGTGTATGTTGAGAATTTTCTAGCTTGTGGAAATTGAGTTACAAGATTAAAACCCTCAAACAATGATGATGAAATCAGGATTATTACTTTGGGTGCATGTAATGTGCCCTGAGTCGATAACAGACTGTAATCCATTTTTTGAGCGGAGGGTTTGAACGTGTTAAACTTTTTTCTCATGCTTATTTGTGATGTCAAACTTTGGGTGCTTATATCTTTTAAGAAATAAATACAAGAGGTAAGAGATGAATCATACGTACCCTGTTTCAAGTTGGAAAGGAAGATCACCTGCATATCCAGGAAGTCTCTTGACTATTGATATTGACCGACATAGGATCAGCAAGTAAGATGTGAGAATGAAAACAAAAGAGAGCAAAGAGTAGCTTGGTCTTGATTCCATTATGGTATGTGCCCTCGAGTATGACTACTTTGTTGCTATATATATATATATATATATATATATATATATATATATATATATATATATATATATATATATATATATATATATATATATATATATATATATATATATATATATGTATGGAAAAAACATCATAAATGGTCCCTGTGCTTTCAAAACTTTTGACGATTGATCCTTATTGCGAACTCCGTTAGGTTCGTCATTTCACTCCCACAGGGACCATTTATTATTTTTTCTCATATATTTAGAAAAAATAATAATATAATTAAATATATAAAAGGTCTCTCTCTCTCTCTCTCTCTCTCTCTCTCTCTCTCTCTCTCTCTCAAACAATAAGAGACAACATCTTAAAATGGCAGATCGTTTCTATCTAAATGAAATGACGGAGTTCATCAAAGAGGAAGACCCACCGCCACCTGAAACCACCACAAGTCCCCAAACAAAGACTCTATCTTTTCCCTACAACATATTTTATGATCAACTCAGATGAGCAGCCTTTGACCTCAAACAAGTTGTATCTTTTTAATTCTTTATTCCCACAATTTCTGTTTTCTCCCTTTCTTCCTTGTGTTGATTTTTGATTTACACATGTTCCCAATCATAGATTGTGTCGGAGACTTGAGGAAACACCGGGAAACGCTTAAATGATTACACATTGTACACAGGTGTATCTGCACTTGGTGTCGTCGTGACCAGACAAAGAAATAAAGACAAACATGAAACCAAGAACAACAAAGAACATGAAAGATCTACCCCATTTCATCTCTTTACCTAAATCATACTTTATTTCCCTTCTATCATCTCTTCATTCACACAAAGACACCTGATTTTAGTTTTATTCAAATTTAAGGTTCCGATTCAGACTTACCCTCTGCCACCACCGAAGAAGACACACTGTAAAGGAGATCACAATCAATTATGCTTCTTAGATGTGTGCGTCTCATGTGTGTCCTGACAAGAAGAAGAAATCGCAACCCTTTTCTACGACTTGTTCTTAATGGATGAGGCAGCAAAAATCAAAGCTCCCTTCAATCTCTTTCTCCGAAATCGATCGAGCTCTCATCTATTTCTATATTTCCTGAATAACACAAGGTTCGGTCCTCCTTCTCCAATCGATCACAATCCTTCCCTCTTATCTCGAATTTGATGTTGCAGTCCTTCTCCAATCGCAATCGATCGCAATCCTTCCTGAATCACACAAGGTTCGGTCCTCCTTCTGAATCACACAAGATTTGGTATTGTAGATGTAGACAGTGAACCATGATTTGAGATTTATGTGTAATATTGGTCACTGGTGGTAGTGGGTATGAAGGTGGTTGTTAGGGTGATAGATATGGTGTTCGTCGGAGGTGCTGTGTAAGAAGTTGCTCACAAAATGTAGGCTACGATGGTTGATTAAAGGCTTTACAGTTTCCACATTCTGAGAGAGAGAGAGAGAGAGAGAGAGAGAGAGAGAGAGTGAGTGAGTGAGAAAGAGAGGGAGAGAGAGAGAGTGAGTGAGAGAGAGAGAGAAAGAGAAAGAGAGAGACCTTTTATACATTTAATTGTATTTATTTTAATAAAAAGATACAAGAAAACATCATAAATGGTCCCTGTACGAGTGAAATGACGAAAATGGCCCTCAGTTAATGGACAAAACTTAACGGAGTTAGCAATAAGGATCAATCGTCAAAAGTTTTGAATGCATAGGGACCATCTATGATGTTTTTAAACCACGGGGACTTAACTTCATATTTTGGAAAACCACAGGGACCATTTATGATGTTTTTTCATAGGTATGAGATCGGTTGACAATTTATAGTTTCCCGAGAACCTAAGAACTAAAGTTGTAGCGTTAGCTCAAAAATAATTCATTGAGTCGTTATCGTCATCTTACTGATCTCATTTAATGTTTATTTTTTTGTTATTGTATATATTAATAAAGAGTTCTAAAAATTAACATAAAAAATCAAATTTAGGATTTTTTTTAAAATAATTTTCGAATTAAAAAAAAAACGGATTTTTTTCTTTTTTTAATTGATAAAAAATATATTTTTTTAAAAAACAATATTTTTTTTTTTAAAAAAAACTGCATTTTTAATAAAAAAAAAACTGTATTTATTTATTTTTTTTAAAAAAAAACTCAATCTATTAAAAAAAACTGCAATTTTTTTCAAAAAAAAAAAAAAACCTGTAATTTTCTTAAAAAACTGCATTTTTTTAGAAAAAATTGTACTTTTGTTTTTTTTTAAAAGATGTAATTTTTTTTTATAAAACTGCATTTTTTAAAGTAAATTTTTAAAAATCAATAAATTATAAAAAACTAGAATATTAAAAAAAAAACCAAACTCTAATTTTTTAACAAAAAAAAAAAATCAATGTTTTAGTTGCATATATGTATACTTTTCAAGTAATATATTGTCACACCCCGAAACTGATGACGGAAACGTTCCGGGGCAGAGGACGGCATGTAAAGTATCACAACCAATGTACATAGTAAGTATAGTAAACACAACCATTACATTACATAGAAGTATTTACATTTGTTTGAAAGTAAAGTTATACATGATTACAGATATATACATCTAAAATGAACAAAAGTAAAGACGAGACTGCTAAAATGTTCCGTCTTCTCCAAAAGTTCGCGGGGTACCTGTCTAATGTGGACCTGAGAATACAAGCAGTTTTAGAAATATCAGCATAAAGCTGATGAGTTCATAAGTGGTTTGTTTATGAAAATGAACAAGTTTCCTTCAGTTCTCTAAAAAAGTAGTTATCCAAGAAAATCCCATATTTTTTTATAAGTAACGTTTAGTTATCCGTTTGTTATACAATCTGGTTATGAACAGTTCAGTTATTTCAGGAAAAACCCTTATTTTCCTTAAAAGTGTGTAATTGGTTATCGATTCGGAATGCAGTGTACAAGTATCTACCATACTTAAAGTGTTTGTGTGAAGTTTCCTGAAAGCCTGGTTGTCCTTGAAAAGTGCATTAGTTTTAACATATATATATATATATATATATATATATATATATATATATATATATATAACTAATAAGTAAGTAAAAAAGTTTTCATAATCTAAATTGCGAGTTCCATAACCATACAATAGACTAGATAAGGCTCGGAACGGGGCCAATATCGTTTTATGACTTTTGTCACCTTTGGACCTTTTGGTCCGACTGTACCTAGCAGCCAGGTGCGGGGTAGTCAATCCCGTATAGATCTATATACTCAAGTCACGTTCTCACTCCAAGAGATTCTAGTTACGGGGGTAGTCCTACACACTCGTAACTAGGGGGAGTGTTGCAAGGACGTGTCTCCAATCTTAAGATTAATGATTTAAGAGATAATAAAACGGGAAATTCTGTTTTATTGGTCCTTCACTCTCGTAACTAGGGAGAGTGTTATCAAGGATGTGGCTAAAGTTCTAAGTATAATGTTATTAGTCCTTCACTCTCGTATCTAGGGGGAGTGTTATCAAGGACGTTTTTAAAGTTCTAAGGTTCATGCTTTTAATAATAATGATGTGGAAAATCATTTGTGAAATATAAAATATAACATTTTATAACAAGTTTCACAAACAGTTTGAAAACTAACTCTGCAAGTTAAACGGTTGGTCAATACAGTTTTCAGTGTTAAAAGCATACGGAATATGAAACATTTCAAATGAAATAATAAGTTTGAGTACAAGATATTCTTGTACTTTTGCTTGTATCCCCCCCCCCCCTGAAACCATGAAAACAAGGAAAAAGGTGTAGGGTATGAACTCACCAGACGAGAAATGTGTCGATTGGATGCTAAGTGTTAGTTCGGGGCTTGAATACAGGCGAGGTTCCTATGTAATATGAAGAGATACATAATTGCATCTAATTAGACTTTGAACTACTAATTAGATAAGAGTATACACTCCGAGGTGCGAAAACACTTCATTTCAAGTGTTAGGAGTGATCCGGATAGTATCTAAGGAGGTGTATGGCCTAGATATGGAGTTTGCTCTTCAAGAGTAAACTCCTAATAGAGCTTTCGGCCCATAGACAATATCCCCATGAGTTTACGGCCGTAAACTCATGGGTGGTGTGTTCTTGGATGCTTAATGGTCTTATAACACTTGTGGGATTAGGCTAGGTTCAGTTCTAAGGCAAGGGAAGTGAATTGATCAACATATAGACCATTTTAAGGAGATTACGGCTGTAAACTAGGAGTTTACGGCCATAAACTCTCATGTACCCTTTCCTTATGTGTTTTGGTGATCCTAGGTTAAGCGTAAGTGGTTCTAGTCCAAAGTACAAGCCATGGAAGGAAGCTAGGGCACCATTTTACCACTATAGAGGAGTTTACGGCCCAGGAACCATTCCTTGGGGTTTTACGGCCGTAATCCCCTAAGGGGGTGGTTTCTTTCATATTTAAGGTCCCTAACACAATGGTGGTTGATTCTAGACATTATTCCAAGGCTTAGGAGGTGTTTAAGGGGCATTTTAACACCTTAAAAGGTGTTTACAGCCTTAAAAGGGGTGTTTACGGTTCCATCATGCTCTTGGGCCGTAAACTCATGTTTACTCCCCAAATGTTAAGATTTTTGCGTTCCAAGTCCATTCATGTAAGCCCTAAGTCATATCTAAGCTCCATAAGTGATTTGGGAGGGTTTTTGGGCTCTAAAACCCCATTTAAGGGTGTTTACGGTTTGGGATTGCTCCTGGCCCGTAAACACATGTTCTTGGTCCTTTTGGATGATTTAGACATGGATTTGAAAGATAAACATGCTAAACTAGAAGCTAGGATTGATCACTTACCAAATTGGAGCTCGAAATGGGTGATTTTGGATCAAAAACTTGGGTTTGTAGAGAGAGAGTAGTGAGAGAGAGTGAAAAAGCTTCAGATGAGGTCCCTTCAACTTTAAATATGGTTTGAGTTTGAGACCCGGTGGAAATCTACCTGATACTGATGTTAAACGAGTCTTATGGTCGTACCCGATTTAATTGTCGTAACCTGACGT